TGCAAAAAGTAACCCCTCCAATTGTTTTTTTTTTTTTTTTTTTTTTGCTGAGAGACAAGGCTCTTTTGCGAACTTGTTTCAGCACTTCCTGTCATTCCTAAGCAACTGCGTGCTTGGATTTCAGCAGGTGCCAGAGCAGAGGGGCAGAGGTAATGTAAGCTGAGTGGGCTGCCTCTGGCAAGTAGGAAGACCCAGTGTGGGCCATGCATGAGTATCTCTCCACTCTGGGGGTGAAAATCCTACAAGCAGGGAGGATTTTCAGTGTCAGAGTGAAGCTTCACAGGTCCTCCCTTACCTTGCAGAAGCATCCAACATGCCTTATGCTGAATTCCATCTACTTAATGACACATGAGATCATTTAACAACTGCAAGTGGGAGTGTCAGAACTGCAGTCGTTGAGCGAAGCAGTCAAATGGTATCTTACTTAATGACTGCTTTGCTCAACAACCCAGATTCCAGTACCAATTGTGGTGCTAAGTATCCATATCATAAAGAAGAAACAGTAAAAAATATAATCATAAACAAGTCTCATTTGTTCATCATTACCCAGCTGATGAAGAAAAAGTAGCTTTTTTTGAATAATGTTCTTGTTGTAGATGGACATTTTTTCCTTTAATAGTAACGGTCACTAGAGGAAATCCTTTCTGGAGTGTCCAAGTATTCATCACTGCCTGTACATCATGAAGCACAGCTTTGGTCCAGTGCTACATAAAAGTTACAAAAATATTAACAAAACATAGGCATGTGCATTGATAAAGTAGAAGTCATAGAAATTAAAAAATACAAGTGTGCCATATTTTAATAATTTGCAAAATCAACAATGTAATGTCCTCAACCATGGTACTCTTTTCAGCATAAGAAAGCAATGTTTTAAGGATAATTTCTTAAGGCTTCTTATAACAATCAAGTAATATCCCTACTAAATTCCAAATTCTTCATTTTTATTTCCAATTATCTATGTACCAGAGGAACAAGACCTCTTTTGAATTATTTTCTGTAGCTATGCAGTTCTAAACAATATCTAACTCAGTTAATATAAGAAATTATTTGCTACATTGAGAACAAATTAAACTTGTGTACTTCTGCTTTTTCTTCCTCTTCCACATCAGCAAAGTAATGAAGCTTGGTAATTTACATTTTAATCAGCTGTAATTTTCCAAATAAGATGATGAAATTTTAAAAATTCAATTTAAACAATACTTTATTTAAATTATGGTTTGAGAACAAAACTAGTGCATTCTTTTTTAAAAAAAACTCAACATATGTGGCCATGAAAGAAATCTTAAGGTTCACCATATTTCTTTCATTGGAAATTTTTAATTTATATTAGAAGAGAACTAGAACAATAAGTAACTGCAAAAAAATCATAACTATCAGGGGACCCATAGCATTTGTTATGTTTTACCTACATGCTAAAAAATTATTTGTGAAAGCAACCTGATAAAACTACAAGCTTTTTGAGAGAAAAGCTTATCATGAATACAATCCAAAACAAATATCTGTGATTCTTTGAAATATTTCAGAACATTCCATCTAAAATATCTTAATTCAAAGATTGGTGGTGCTTCACTTAGGCATTAGTTTTTGTCAAAATGACTGCATAGTAGCAATCAGTGTTAATTTAAAATTTTGATTTCCAAGTTATTGTACAATGCACTAAAAAAGTGTTATGCAAAACAATTCAAATCCATATTTGAACTTGAAAGATTCTGTTTTGAGTTGGAAACTGCTGTTTTGACCTCAAAACAGAGTCACTTTGAGTTCAGCCTTTTTCAGAATGATTGGAATAGTACTCAAAAGATCCAGTAGATAAGATTTAAACAATCTATTTCAACTGCATACCTTACAAATGAAAAGAATGTATCACAACTTCATGACATAATATGGATAGCCACCCAGATTTGCTGGACAATGAGATAGGCAGCATATATATTAAATAAATAAAAAGAAAGAAAGAAAGAAAGAAAATGAAAGAAAGATAAAAATTTATCTCACTGAGTTTAAGACTCTCTCCTTGTTTCTGATACAAACTCCATTTTGTATGTTACTTCCATCAACATCTGGACAAACCTAATCAATAAACAGTTATTAAAGATATCACAAGATGAACATCAATGCTGCTCAAGAACATTTTAAAATTAGATATTTTGAAAGAAGTAATTCTTCTCAAATACTTGCATCTGATAAGCTGTCCCACAGGTCTTTGTTTTTTGTGTTCTGATAACTGAATCGCAACAAATATTTCACAAGACCAGCTTGAAAAACTTCTGGGCTGAGATAGTCCTGTAGCATATTGAGAATACAAGCTCCCTGTAAAGAGAATGAAATAATATAGAATACATCTGTTTTTTTTCATGTTTAGGGATTTGGACTGATATATGTCCATATAGTCACTGATTATGGTACTAAATTCTATTTTTTAATCTCTGCAGATTGAAATTAATGATCCTAAAAATGTTTCTGACATAGAAACATTGATTTCTGGTTTTGATGACTAGAAAGAAATGGATAATGGATAATAAAAACAAGAGAGGGTGAGGTTTATTTATAATCACAAAGTGAGAGAGAATTTTGTAAATGTGTTTATATTATCTACAGAGGAATTCTGAACCTTCTTTTTTCTATTTTTTCCATTCAATTCTTTCAGTGCTTTTTCTTTTTTTTCTTTACTGCTTCTGCACTTTATTAGTTTGCATTAGTTTTTGTGTTTTTAAAACTTTAATAAAAAATAATTAAAAATAGAGTATCATATAGTCTGACCATCTTAACAATGAGTATAAAATTCACTTTCAGATATAAACACAGTATCCAGATTTATTAAACTTGGCCAAAATTTCTTATCTTACCTTATCATAGGAAACATCATCAAACATTTCTAGAATCTGAGCTGGATCTTCAACAGGAGTCGATATAGGATGTGAAGAATTTAAAGCATCTACCTCCATGGCATTAAAATACTTGTTTAAAAAGTAATCTTCCTGAACAAAAGAGAAGCCAAAAGTAGTCGTCTGAGATTTTTGAATTTATTTTTAAATGACATATTGAGATGAACTTACATTTAATTATTTATACAGAAATAATTTTATTGCTTCATTTATGACTTCAAGCTGCCTTATACATATTTTGAGTAACATTGCTTTTGGTAAGAGTGGAGAATTAGCATATGTAAGTGGTCAAAGTGAAATTAAACTTTAATGCCCCCCCAAACTGGCCTCCAAATTCAAACTGTGGTTAATTTCATCAAAAATTAAATTATGTAAAATAATTACTATATCTATTTACAAAATACTTTTGCTGATAAAATGATTATCTTTAATATTACTGGGATTAAATCTCATTATTCCAATTCCAGCATTGAATTAAATATTGATAGGCTAATATTTCATCCAATTGATGAAGCAAATTCTAGTCCAAAAAATCTTATGCCATAATAAATTAGTCTTTAAGGTGTTTTGTATTATTTGTCTGAAAATATTGGTCTCAGTAGAAAAAAGATAATTTGTTTTCTTTATGGGCTGGGAACAAATGGAATGTTGGCAGAGTCTAATCAAACATCCCACTTCCCAAAAGAAAAAAAGGGACGATGGGAAATAGTAGGAAATAACTCCCTTAGGTCCTAAGTAACTTAGAAAATAATAGTGTTAGTATTGTGGGAAAGTGTATACAATTCACTATATGTTGATAATTAAACTAAACACATGATCCCTGGGTGCATCCATGCCAAAATAAATAAAATAAAAACGAACACTAGGGTAAAATAATCAAACTCTAGGAGTTTAATACTACAATACCAACGCCAAGCTTTCGTCAGCGTCCTGCTGACATCATCAGGGCTTAAACGGTCAGTCCATGGGAGAGTCTTTTATAGTTCAAACTTGGTCTGCACACGGCCCCTGGACCTTGTTACCGGTCCTGGTTGCATCAGCTGCACTCCGGCGGTGATCTTTCCTCCGCCGGTTGTCCCTTCACTATATATATATATTTTCTTTTAATAACCCTATAATCCCTTCATGAGGGTGAAGTCAGGGTGACGGATCGGAGATCGAGCATTTACTGTCTGGATGCCCTTCCTGACGCCTAAGCAGTTTCAAAGCAGACAATTACTCATTATGCCGAGAGAGAGAAATATCTTCCACTAGATGACCTCCAAGGTCCCTTCCAACTTTATCATTATTGTTATTATTATTACCTAGGATTGAACTCACAGTCTCCGAATTATGAGCAAGAGGTCCACCTCTAGGCATATCATGCTGCTCACACAATTTACTGTATAATTATTTTCATTAATTATAAAGTTTCGTGCTGTGCTACACAATCATGCCTACAGTCTAAAAACTTTGCTGAGTCTGCCTTAGTGCAAATCTACAAGGGGAAGAAGGTGTCTGTTTCCAGTTCTGGTATTTTCTTGGCTTATTATTAAAAATAGGAGGAACACCCCCCCCCAATACTTACAACTTTCAGTTCTGGATGGGTCTTTCTTACTGACACAAATTCCATAAACTTGGCAAAACCTTCATTAAGCCAAAGATCATTCCACCATTCCATGGTAACCAAATTTCCAAACCACTATAAAAAAGAATATGTAGCAAGATTGAGACAATTCATAAGACGCTAATCAACTTGAAAGTGTCCATTTTATAAAGAGGGAACAAAGTAAAGTTATAGTTTGGCACTGCTCTGTACCTATTCAACAGTCTCTTGTTTATGAACAAAAAGGAACTGTTTTGTTTGGCAACAGCTAGTGCCTTTCATGAGAAGACCACCTAATGTTTATTGTTTATGAAAACTGAGCATTCACAACAACTCCAGTATAAATACCAGCAGCTAATCTAGCATTATGAGCCTTTAGACTGATTATTTGGCATTGACTGGGTAGTAGTTTTTAAGACAAACTGAATTTCTGCAGGAATGTACTTAGAAAAAACCAACACTCTTACTGAATTTCTATAGGATGGACAGTCCAACTATCTCAAATAAAAGTATTAATATTTACATCTAATCCGGTCAAAAATAACTGGAATATAAGCAGGTGCATATTTTTCCTTCTGTTGAAATCACTAAAAGGTTATTTATCAAATTTATATCGACATTCATGTCACAAAACAAGTGACTTTGGATGGCTTACAACGAAGCTTATGTGGTATTGCTAAAACTATATGCAGCACATTCACTGGTGAATGCAAAGTAGGTACCCACACTATCTGTAAAGCTTCAGTGAAGAAACTATAGACTAGAACAGGGGTAGGCAACCTTGGCTCTTTTATGACTTGTGGACTTCAACTCCCAGAATTCCTGAGTCATAAAAGAGTCAAGGTTGCCTACCCCTGGAATAGAAGATATCCTTTCTAAACTATATACAGAAAACATACGGTAAATTCTGTTAGCTTTATGAGAAAAAAAATCATATATGCTGGCTTGAGTCATTTATATAAATGTCACAATGCAACAATCAACTGATGTTACTTCTCTGATTTCAGAGGGAATTGTTGTCCAGATAATTAAAATATAACCTTCAATTTCATATCTGAAAAACAGGCTACAATTTACCTGATGAGCAAGTTCATGGGCTACTACCATAGTAATTCCAAGTTTACTTGATACTGAGGATTTTTCAGAATCATATAACAAAGCAGATTCCCTGTACGTGGTCAATCCCCAATTTTCCATTGCACCAGACTGAAAATCTGGAATAGCTGCTAGATCTGTAATGAAATGTTATTTTCTTAAAATCTGTTTACACCCCATCATACACTTAGAAAAAAGTACATGCATGTGCACACACAGACAACTAATATGTTCAAATATTTAGTGATATGGTAATTTTTCAAAAGTAACCATAAATCTTTTTGGCCTTTTAAAAAAAACATTCTTCAGGAGATTTTTTTTTTAAAAAAAACACAATAACATTTACATTACTCTGTGCAATGTACACTGAAAAAAAACATTCAATTAAAAATGATACAGTGAAAAAAGATGATAGCAGCATCTAGATACAAGTAATGCTTGAGACTGCATATGAAATGTTCCCACAAAAGACTGTTTATGTGTATGAATTTTATCTAGAACTCTTTTTGTGGGTGATTTTTTGGACAGAACTTCATCATATTAAACTCAATAACACTCAATAGGACTGCAATCTGAAATTCTATTTTTCAGTGAGTTGGTTTATATCTTAGCAACATTATTGGTAATAAAAAGATTTTTAAAAACTGTCCAACTTCCTAGTAGGAAACCTAACACAAAGTGGAAGGAACTTTGAATTGAATAAGAATTTATTTTGGTTATATATATAAAACACATCTTTTTTAAAAATCTAACTCTAAAGGATTTTTTAAATATTAAAAAATGACTTTAAATTAGAGAATTAATCTGGCTGGTTAATATACTTTTCAGCTGTTAACAGTATCTCAGAATAATATATACCTTGTTTTGGCAAAGGATATGCAATGCTAAAATATCCCTCAAAGAAGTCTAAAAGTTTCACTGCTGCATCCAAAGCATATTCTGCTTGTTTGATTTTGTGTGGCACAGTATATACTGAAACCTAAAAAACACAAGCATGAATGGATTTTGACGCATCAAGATAGGTTTCTCAGAACGTAGTCCCAAGTACCACAATCAGCACCTGGAATCGCATTGGGCAGATCAAAGAGATAGTTTTGTTGTATTTGCTTCCTATTCTGTCTTATTTAGGATGGGAACAAGCCAAAGCTTGTTTCTTGTCATGCAGCTAAACAATAGAATATTTGTTCAGTTACTTAGCAGAAGCCTAGTGTAAACAACCGAGAACAGTTCTGAATATGTAGCATTACTGTACTACTTTATAAACCAATATCAATATTTTTTTAAAAACAAAACCTATGTTCAACAGTGTGAAATCAATTGTGCAAGTCTAAGCATTTATTATATTTGATCAATAGACTTGGGAATTTCTGAAAAATTAGTTAAAATTAGATTGTTCTCTTTTTCAGAAATCATTTTATAATTGCAATCTTGTGCTTGAATCTGTATAAATATTTATACAGATAAAATCAGCTGATGCTAAATGATTACCTTAATTCCACGTAATGTCGTCTTGGTAACTGATTTAAAGTCTGAAATAATGAAGGCTACTAAGTAAGTGCTCATCTTTACACTGATGTCAAACTGGTCCTCAATAAGCCATTCATTAATGTTTACTGATTTCACCTAAAATTTAAAAAAATACAATTACTTTTTGCTTCTAGTTGACAACTTTAACACTGTTTGGAATTACCGGTAAGTCTTTTATATTTCTGTTCAAATTGTCTCACTGCACAAAGTTTACAAAAATGCTATGTTAATGTTATAACACCTTTTGCAGCAAAGGCTATACTTGCCAATGTATGCCTATGCAACTCATTAATAGTTACGAATTAGCATGTTGTACAGTGCAGTTTAATCCAAATCTACCTGTAAGAAAGTCTCATTAAGTTTAACTGGACATCTTTCAAGAAAAAAAATAAAGTATTGCAGCTCAAAATAGCAAAGAATGCCACTTTTGAGGATATAAGTAATCTTGATTTCAAGTTTTTCTTACTTTTTAAAATATATTAACAATGAATTTTCTATTTTGACTTGATGTGAACATTCTTTGCATAATATATGGACAAATTTTGTATACTTGAGTCATTTTTTAAAAAAAATATTTTTCTTTTATCTGCTTTCTAAAATATTCAAAAAATACATATACCAAAGGCATATTAGATAGTGCTAGGTGCTTTGGGCTTCTTCTGATCTTAACAGAAAATGTTGCTTTTAGTGCAGGTTCATCAAAGCAAGGAAAGGCCATACGCGCAGCTGTTGCCTCAAACTGGGTTGAAGCAAGCACCCTGGAATTAAGACAAAAACAAGTAAATTTAAACTGATTAGGCAGATAGACATACATTTACTAATCCACATTTCACTTCAACAATATTACTTACCTTATATTTATAGATCAGGAAAAATATATGAAGCATAGTCATTAATAAGGCAAGCCTACAAATGTTTTTTGGAAGTAGGTTCCTCTGCTTCGTGGGCTGTATTCTCAGATATGTGCACAGAAAGTTAGTCTGTACCGCAACTGCTTTTCTAGAATTTACAACTTGAAAAGTTCTCTCAGATTGCCTGTTTAATAATGGATTTGTTTTTTTTAATGGATTCCATGATGAAAGATATTCCAAAGATTCATTTTGGGAGGGAAAAGAAATGCATGAAATTAAATAACCAATTCTAGAATACTGCACACACCTCTTTATAAATTAGCATTAAGAGGAAAGATGAAGAATGAACTCTCTACCAGAATAGGTTTACTACCTGTGTGACAATTTGCTAGAATGGACCAACAAAATTAATGTCCCAAATCTATTTGAGGAACAACCCCAGTTGTCTTCATTAACCGAATCCTTTGGTCATGAGATGAAGCAATTTTCTGCCAGCTTCCCACAATCAAAGCCAGTGGAGAAAGTAGTAGCAAGTTGCAAGTCCCAGGCCAGAAGGCAGGTAAGTGGCTGCTGCCAGCTGTGGGAGAAATAAAGAGGGTGACAGGACTGCAAGGGGTCAGGGAGGATGTGTGGGATATGCAAAAGTCACAGCATGTGTTGGGGAGGAGGTGTGAGGGGGCAGGGGAGTTCAGAAAGGTTTGTGAGGGTGCGAATGGATGAGTGGAGGGAGACAAGGTGGGGAGAGGGTCAAGTGCATGAGGCAGCAAGAGGCTGTGTCAGAAGTGCATTGTGGGTCTCAAGACTGTATGCGAGAGGTATGATATCGGTTTAGTGCACACGATTTGAGACAGATAAGGTGTGGATTGGGGAGGATGCACAAAGGTGTGAGGCATGGTATGGGTCAGGGAGGGTGAGCAAAAGCTGGGGAGATTAGAGTGTGGGTTGGGGGAAGATTCAAGAGACATAGCAAGGGTCAAGAATGTGCAAGTAGCCAGCACAAAGTGAGTGCAGAAGGGTGAGGGGAGAGTTCACAGGTACGGAAGACTTACCCCAGTGATTTATGACCTTCTCTGCTGGTTTCCCCATTGGCTTTCTAGGGAAACCAGCAATGAAGGTTGTAAATGGAGACTGCGTGACTTTGGCAACCAGCCATAAGTGTGAACTGACTGTCAAGTGCCCAGATCACAGTCACATGATCACAGGGGTGCTAGGACAGGTGGAACTTCAAGGAGCAGTTGTAACCACCATTCATTCAGTACTATCATAACTTCAAACAGTTGCTGAATGAATGATCATACTTTTAAATATAAAATAAGAAGTTATATAGTCAAATAATAAATACAGTAATACAGGGCTTACCTTGTTTCCCCTTCCAGAGTTCTATACGTGCTTTTATAGAAACCATGAAAACTTTCAGATAAATTGGCAGAGTACTCAATGCTAATAATGTAGCTCTGTCCAACTTGTAGAGGTTCAGTAGAAACAAGTGCTATCTGCTCAAATGGTGGATGTTCTAAAACCATCATTCCTTTAGCTGTATCAGCACTGTTCTTGGTGTTGTGGATAGTAGTTTTGGTTATCTGAAGATATTTGCTGTGAAGGATGATTGAACTAGTTTGCTCTGTTATTAAAATCTCTATTTTGGACAATCCAGTAAAAGACAGAGTTGTGAGATTCGGATGAATGAGAAGATCATAATGAACTGGAACAACATACTTTGGAAGTCTAATTTTATCCCAAGGAAAAGGATTGCTTTCATCTCTAGTAAATGAATATGATGTCTCACATAGAAAACTTAGAATACTTAGCAATAAGAACATTTTACTCTTCTTCAACATAAAAACCTGATCAGGAAGCAGCAATCTGATGCCAGGTTACTATGGGATCCAGAATTAGAAATCTAATAAAGAAAAATAAATTCAGACAATATAAACATATTTTATGAAATGTTGACTATCATTTATACGGTATAGTTTCAAAGGTGTTATACTATATATTCTTTTCTATCTAGCAGGCTGTCTTAAACAGTATACAATTTTGGTGAACTATAGATTTTCAGAATGACACCTTAATATTAAAATAAGGGTAACTAATTTTAAGGCAAACTGTACTTATTCACTTTTGTTAAAGTGTTAATGACAAGTTTTTACTTGTTAAAATACGGCAATATGTACTTCTAACTATGGGAAAAGAAAATTATCTTCAAAACGAAGCTTGAAAATCATATGGTTAAACAACACCTGGAAATACTGTGTGTATTTCTAGTCACACCACGCGATACTACACGCTAAAATGCGGTTAGCTATGTAGTAGTTCAGTGTGCTGCGAGAACGCAGTCACACAAGGGGGGGGGAGGGAAGCGCCGTACCAAAACCCCACGTAGAATAACCAGAAGCCACTGCCGTTTTTTCGTCGGTTCCTGTACCGCAGGGGTAGTCAACCTTGGCTCTTTTATGACTCGTGGACTTCAACTCCCAGAATCCCTGAGCCAGCTGGGAATTGAAGTCCACGAGTCATAAAAGAGCCAAGGTTGACTACCCCTGCGGTACCGTATCGGAATCGTATCGGTTTAACGACGACGCACAGCGGCGAGGCGAGCCTCGCAAATTAGGGACTACCTGACCTCAGCCCTCACCGACTCGGGATCAATTCAGCACAGCGAAACGGCGCTGAAAAACCTTCGCGGAGGGCTTCGAAAGGCTCCAAAACTGAGCGGGCGTAATGGAGCCGTCACTTTCAATATTGAAACCTGATAGTTAAACGGAGGGAAATTAGGCCTCTAATCTTCCTCTCCCTTCCACGAATGTAATTTCCCTCTTCTGACTACCTTCTTCTGTCTTAGGACAAGCCTTTAATAGGGACGCCCTTTTTTTACCTGCTCGAACCAAGGCAGCCGCCGACCCCACCACTGCCGCTCCGCCGCTCGCCTTGGCTTAACAACGAAAAGCGAAAGCGAAACGGCCCAGGAAAGTGCTTGCCCCACTCAGCCTCTTGAGGCGCCCTACGCGAGCGCAGTGTTTCTCAACCTTGACAATTTTAAGGCATGTGGACTTCAACTCCCAGAATTCCACAGCCAGCATTCCTGGCTGTGGAATTCTGGGAGTTGAAGTCCACATGCCTTAAAATTGTCAAGGTTGAGAAACATTGCAAGCGAAGGGCAACAAAACATTACCGCTGAGTATTCTTACTCTTTGTTACTACGGTTTGTACGCTGCCCAGGGAGTCCTAGGAACACCGGTTTTATTTATTATATATTTGTTTCTCTACCTTGGCCACTTGAAGATGAGGGGACTTCAATTCTCAGAACTCCTCAGCCAGCATCTCACATTTTCAAGTGGGCAAGATTGAGAAACAGTGCGTTAAACAGGGCCTGCTTCGGAGCACGTTAACCAGTTTTCTTCTGCGTCACCTGCACGGTATTCATTGGATTGACATTTTTATTCTTTCACCCCACCAGAATGTTGGAAAGAATTTTACCCCATCTTTCTCTGGAGAGGAAAGCTAGGAGAAAAACAGAAGTGGATGTGACTGAATTTGGTATGGAGAAAAAGCCAGCAAAATAACCATCAGCTTATAAAACTGGCTGGCTGTCCAGCTGAACCAGACCAAGGCTAAGAGGAAAATGAATAAAGACATTTTTAAAAAAATCATAGTGTAATTTCCCCATTTGGAAAAGGCAGTAGGGTGACAACTTGAAGTACTGCTTCCAGCCTAAGTCTCTTCCCCTCCACTCATTGACCCAAAACAAAGATAGGATTAAGTGGGTGGAAAAACTTATGCTAGGCATATGTGCCCTCCTTTAAAAAAAAAAGTCTCCTGTCTCTGGTAAGGCTATTCTAGATCACTAAACAACAGCAAAGAATTATAGGAGCTTTAATCAATACTTTGGTTTTGGTCTCATTAGAAACTCATATATGTACAACTGCCACATATTTATCTATTTTTGCAGATATTAAAATACCTGGTGTTTGTTTTTATGTTTATTTGCAATGTTTTCTTTATAAAAAAAAGTATTTTTTAAAAAATGCACAGTAACTTCATGCTTACCGTCACAAGGGGTAGCTGTTTTGCTACTTTCATTTAGTCACGCACTGAAATTAATAAAAAGAATATTTCGGTAAAATAAAATAGAAGCAGAAAACATAACAATGGTTTTATATTCAATATTTTATTTGATTTGGAAGAGTGTACAAGTTAAACATTTTGTGTAATTACTTCTCAAAAATTAAGCAATTGCATTGATTGAAAAATACTAACAGGCATCCATAACTTCAGTACTACTCAGTATTGTAGTCCAAACTATATATAGGTCATAAAAAAGACTAGTCAGCATACTGTTACCAAAATTTAATATTCATTATTTGCCTGGGAAACATTAGTACATTCTTTTTACAGACCCAGAATTAAAGAGCTGCTTTGTGCAAATAAAATTATGCCACAGAAGTTAATCTGAACATCCCCCCCCCCTCATTTTATGTTCATCTGCTGTTGCAAATCCTGTGGCTGCTCTTCTAGGAATATCTTTTATTCTGGCAATAGATTTCAATAGGTTTGATTATAACGAATGTGCTGTAAAGGTTTCTAAGCCCCATTTATTTCAGAAGCAGTTTTAATTCAACTTATGTCATAAAATGTGCATTATAAAAGATTGCCAGTAGCCTTCACCAAGAATAGCATGTATTAAAAGGAAGGATAGTCTGATTAAATTGTATCTACAACTAAGTCATGTGCATTGGCTATTGCCATTATTAGTAATAGCAATACAACTTAGACCTATATACTGCTCCACAGTGCTCTACAGACCTCTCTAAGCGGTTTACAGAGTCAGCATATTGCCCCCCACAATCTGGGTCCTCATTTTACCAACCCCGGAAGGATGGAAGGCTGAGTCAACCTTGAGCTAGTAAGACTTGAACTGCTGAACTGTTGGCAGTCAGCAGAAGTAGCCTGCAGTACTGCATTCTAACCACTGCGCCACCACGGCTCTAGCATGGCATTACTATCATGAATAAAATACAGTTTGCATGCAAATGTGTGCACACTCCATACTTTCCTGCATGAGGATTCCTATAACAGGACAAATTGTCATATGACATTTAGAGGGTGATAAAAAAAACATTTCCAGGGTGATAAAAAAAACATTTCCTGGCATTTCAAGAAAATCTTCATTTTGTTCACTTACACAGCGTACTGTATATACCTCTGGGAGGCCAAGATCAGAGTTCAACAGAAAGTTTAGGAATATTGTCCTTTTCTCTGTATGGCTGTTTTTCATTTAGGATATGTACAGTGAAGCAAAGAGATGAAAGTTTCTTTTCCACAGAACTATTTCCTGAAGTGAGAAGGTCACAACATTCATGAATTTCAAAAGAGATCATTCAAGCACTAAGGTATCATTAAACATTATTATTCTGAAATGGTTTTATGCTGTGGTCTTGTCAATTACCTGACATTAATCTTTTCCAGGGAAGAAAGCAAAGTCGGTTCAGAGTTCATAAAAACTGATCATCTGGGAGTTGTCTGTCACTGTTTGAAAGTAATTATGATTTTTCCCAAGGAATGAAGAGATTCAGTATACTCTGAACTTAAAAACAATAGAACCATTTGGACTTCAGTATTGATATAAATACTTTCATCTCTGGCTATCTGGCTAGAGCATATTTGGAAGGTTCAAAAATGCCTACTTAGGAGGGAAATGTGATTAACATATGGAACTAATAATGTATAATTTTACACTTGTCTGCATGAATACATATACTGTTCCTGTGTCCATGATTCATCTGTAGTTTTGATACAAATAGATAATCTTTTTTATGGACTGCTATTGAAATGAATGACATTTTCTATAATCCTAAATAATGTCCATTTTGTTAAGATACTCTGAAACATCACCATATATCTCTTGAATATATCACTGAAGAAACACTGTAGTTGAATTCTGGAGCTTTAGATTGGATTAGGTCTATGGATCAGATATTCCCCCATTTCTCCATCTCTGGGCTTTTTGTTGGGAATCTGCAACATAGCAGTTGCAAGTACCACCCCATTTATTCTAACTAAGATAGTGCTCTGTGACTTAACATTGTATATCATAAAGAAACTGTCCTAGTGTAGACAGTTATTTTGCATTTAACGTTTTTGTTCATTGTATGACTAATTTGTTAAGACATTTTTTTCTGTAGTAATTTTGGTCTACAGTTACAACTATGAAAGTTAAAAAGTATATAATATTTACAAGATTGCTGTTTTAAAAAAAGATTTAAAAATATCAACATCTAATAGTTCTAATGAGATTTTACCCATTTTTTATTTTATGTTTAAATTATTTTCATCCTGTTCATGAAATCTTCAAAATTGCATGGTGCTTACTGTCTGAAAAGGTGACTGAAGCCTGGTATATTTACATGGTAAAATGATGCATGAAAACTAACTAAAGAAAGAAAAGCCTGAAGTTACAGATTTGTCAATGATTTGTATGTGGTTTAAGATACAAGCATGTCCTAATTTTTGGAAACATCTACAATCAACAGTGAGTAAAATGACACAAAGAAAGAAAGGATTGTCTAGTAGCTTTTATTTTGGCTGCTCATGTCAGTATCTTGTAAATTTCAAATAATTTTCAACATTCATATGAGTAACTGTAGACCAAGATTACTACAGAAAAATTACTGTCTTAAGAAATTAGTCATAAAATGAACATAAATGTTAAATGCAAAATAACAGTCTACACTAGGACAGCTTCTTTGTGGTATACAATGTTAAGTGCCAATTTTACTTCTATATGTTATGTCCACATTGTCCGTTATTCTGAATGAAATACTGTCTCTGGGATGTTTCTACCATGTCTGTATTGAAAATATCTTACAAGGCTTAATGACTATTTAAATCAGAAAAAAATCCACCTCTAATATTCTCCTGTCAGGAAAACTGTCTAATTAAGTACTGAAACCTGGAAACTTCCAGAAAAATGCAATGGTTCTTAGACTTCCAAAGATTCTTTTTCATGCAGAAAGCCGATTGGTTCAACAGAATGGATTAAATATCTTTTTTCCAGCAAAATGGGATTTGGAGCTGCATCTGACATGAAATTTTCTGGCTGTACATAACAAAATACCACTGTCGTGATCCCAACCTTAATAAAAATATGTTTGAGCAGCCTTAAGGAAAAGAAGGAAATCATAAAATCTATAATTAGATGCTTATAATATTTGTTGAACAAACAGTACTATTCCTGTAAATGTTACTGTAATTTCTGTCCTAAGTATGTACCAACTCTTGTTACATCTTCTTATTTTTCATCTTCATTAAACATTTTAAAAATACAGATAAAATTTTTGATATATTCCTACAGATATTTTTTAGCTTCAGTAAAACAAGCCTGTGCCTTTGGGAAAATGGAATTACCACTGAGATAATTATATTATAGAAAACTCAGATGTTTTTATTTTGAAATTTTAAACTACTTTCAATGTACTGATGGCTTATTTCAAGTAACTAATCCAGTGTTACATACTTTACATGGGAATGAGTTCTACTATATTGTAAACAATGAGACTGACTGTTTGGGTAAGATTTCATTGGAAACCTGCTTTCTGAAGTACCCTTCCCTTAGCTGGTAACCTGAAGATACATTGGAATAATAATTCCCATATTTTCCTTCATAAACCATATTTTTACACAATCTGCTAGCTACAATCCCAACCCCCTCTAGAGGGCACCAGGTTGGAAAAGGTGGCTATTTAATGGGACATACAAATACATATATCTGAATATATTTGAATCCTGGAAATAACAATGAGATTCCTACATGCAGGAGCATGTTGTACATAAGAAACAGCATGTGCACAGATGCCTGACAGATGGTTGGTGCTGTCAGATCCGATAGTGCCACTTAGCTATTAAGAAAGTGGAGGGAAGTATGGGCTCTGCATTTACTCTGTATAACACTTCCAAA